AAATCATCGATTTCGCTTTCATCGTTCTACTACTACTTTAATAATTTCCAGGTACTCCGGGTTGTTACCGTCTTGGTGGGATTCAGATATTTTACCTTTGATAGAAGAAGGAGCGATTGTTTCGACTAGCTCTTCGTTATCCTCCAAATAAGGTAAGATCACCTTGTCAGGGTGAAAGGTTTTACGTTCTCCGATGGATTTACATTGGGAAAAACGCCGTTAAATCAATAGTCGTAGCGTAACCAGTTCTGACTTCAAGTGTATTTCGGTGATTTATCGTTTTTAATTCGATTAGGCAGGGTGAGCATCCCCCTATAGATGTGGAATTCAAGATCTTTTTTGGGTGAGGTGAATCTGTTTATCAGGGTCGAGGTGTATGCCTTTAGTTGGGCGTGAAAGAAGCGATTGCTGTCTCAGGCTCTCCACAATTTCTAAGTACCGTATCCTCAAGGTCAAAGTTTAAAGGTCCTCGGTCAGGTTTGTATTATAGAAAACATGCCACTAATTGATTATTACAGTTTTATTAAATCCAATCCAATTCCGTTCGAATAATAATTTTACATTTTCAATTTTAGGCCAGGTGAGCGGGTTCTCTCAAGTGTATCGTTCGCGATTCTTTGGTTGAAGTATACTCGTTTGCCAGGGTCAAGTTCAGGTGTATACCTTTTGATTAGGCTCAGAAGGGGAGACCGTTGTCTAAATTTTCTCCGCAATTTCCTGAATAGGGTAATATCATCTCCGTCATTATTATTAGTTGTTTAGAGCGTTATGAATTCCGTTTCCATTTCAGTGATTTGTCGTTTTGATTTTTAAGCGAGGTGAGCGCACTCCGTTGTTTAGCTCTGAAGGAAGGAGCCGCTGTCTGGATTTCTCAACGATTTTCTGTATAGGGTAATATCGTCTTCATTGTTAATTAATTGTTTGGTACGCTATCGATTTCGTTTCCATTATTTCCGATTAATTATCGTTTTAATTTGTTAGATGAGGCGAGCATACTGTTGCAGATAAATAGTTCACACTCCTTAAAGTGTGGTAGATCAATTTGACAAGGTCAAGGTCAGGTGCGTGCCTTTGGTTAGGCCTGAAGGAGAAGCCGCTGTTTCATTTCATTTTCTCGACGATCCTCTGGGTGAAGTGATATTGTCTGTGTCATTTATTAGTTGTTTAGGGCGTTATCAATTGTATTCC